CCCGCCGCCCTTCCGCGAGCCCCTCCCTCCAGGGCCTCCTTCTCCGGAGCTCACCTGCCGACTCGGCGCCCGCAGCCTGCGCTTCAGCTCCAGCTCGGGTTCCGGGGCCTCGGATCGCAGCGACTCCCTCACAGCTGCGCTCCGCAGCGCAACCGAACTGCGGGCCCCGCCCTCGCGGCGTCCGGACCAACAGATGGGCGGTGCCGCAGCGCCGCCAAGTTTCCATTGGACAGGGCGGCGGGGGGCGGTTCCCGCAGATGGGCGCTCTCAGGGCAGCCTCCTGCCGGGTCTCCTCCCCTTGCGGGGCTCCGGCGGACGGCTTGCTAGCGTTGTCTCCTGTCTCTCTGTCCACCCTCCACCCAGTCGAGGTGCCCCAAGTAATTCTGCCGGACGAAAGCGAGGCCTTCTCCCTCTTCTCGAAAGCGCCATGACAGTCCTAACCCTCCGAAAAGACAAAAGGAACGAGAGGTGCAGCTTCAATCCAAGGGACGATCCCGCCCATAGTCCCCGTTTGGGAAGGAGACAGGGCTCCCGGCACCCGTTTTTCAGAAAGCTTTTTGTTGCTGCTGTTTTTAGTTGCTTAACATGAAAATTAATAGTTGTTGGTTTGCATAACACTATGCCCAAACACACCTGACGTGACCCTCACGAAGGACGAACTCACTGAAAGTATCCATTGATAGTTGACGAATGCGAAAATGAAACAAACAAAAAAAGTTACCCAAATTTAAGCCCAATGAAGAATCCGAAATGAGAGTCATCAAAACTGTCCTTGAGAAAGTGTTTGCTAAGAATTTAGATTGACTGCTACTCAGTGTCAAGAAAGTACAATAGACTCCACGTAAGCCGTTCATCTTGGAAGACTAAAGGCAGAATCTAAGCGGTGGAAATTCATTCTGCCATTGTCTATGTTTTATCAGGGGACAAGGGTGAATCAGCTGACCTGAGAATGTCACCATCACCAATTTCCCAGCCTTAAACGGACTAATTAATCCTTCTTCACGGTTCAGAAGGAAATCGTGTCGAAACTGATTTTCTCATCGCTTCAGTTTAAACGACTTATTTTAAAAACTAGATTTCCTCTGGGCAGTGGTGACGCACGCCTTTGATCCCAACACTTGGGAAGCAGAGGCAGGTGGATCTCTGTGGGGTCGAAGCCAAAATGACTTCCAAGACAGCCAGAGCTGTTACACAGAGAAACCTTGTCTCAAAACAATAACAACAACAACAAAACAAGTATATTTTCTACCGGTGGTTGTGTGGTGGTGCACGCCTCCCGAGGTAGAAGCAGAGATCCTCCAGGATAGCTAGGGCTTCACTGAGAAACCCTGTCTGGGGGAGAGGGAGAGGAGATCGGGCGGGGAGGGCGGGGACATGAATAACTAAATTTTCAACAGTCATGTTGAATGTGGTACTCAGGCGGACGGCTTGGCAGCGTTGTCTCTGGTCTCTCTGTCCACCCTCCACCCAGTCGAGGTGAATCTCTGTGAGTTTGAGGACAAACAGGGCTACATAATGAAACCCTGTCTCAAAAACCAAGCTTTTTTTCCCCCCAGCATAGTGGTACAAACCTGTAATCCCATCATTCAGTAGGCTAATGTCATGAGTTCAAAGTCAGTCAGAGCTATAGTGAGACGCTCTCTCAAAATAAAACAATATAAAATCCAATGTGTATTAGCAAACCTTTTGCATTAAAGATGCATGTACCTAAAATGTAGAGCACACATTTTCAAAGTGTGTTTTAGTCTCAAGGGGAAGGATACTCATCCTCTTCGGATTAACCTTCTCTCCTGCGGGCACCAAGGCAATTGGAACTTCTGAACTGTGGCAAGCACTCACTAAATATCCCTTCATGCTACTGTAGTTCTCCAATATTTTCTGTCAGCACTATCAACCTTTGCATTTCAACTAGCTATTTCAAATATACATGGAGGATCGTTTGGCAACCTCATTTTCAATCATTCTCTCATTCATACTTAAAATGCTCAACTGCCGCCTACACCTTTACCACTTCATTTATGTTTCCTGATTACAAAAGAAATAAATATATCCTGCTTATAAAAGCAATAATTGCTTATTGTAGAAACTCAGAAATGTACAGGGAGAGTGGGCTCAGCAGTCAAGAGCACTGTTTGCTCTCACAGATAACCCTGGTTTTGTTGCCAGCACCTACAGAGCTACTCACAATTGTAACTCCAAGTCAAGAAAATCTGGCGCCCTCTCTTGGTCTCCACAAGTACCAGGCATGCGTGCACCTACACATAGGCAAACTTAAGCATAAAAAAATTTTTTTTGAGGCAGGCACAGTGGCCCATGACTTTTAATTCCAGCACTTGGGAGGCAGAGGCAGGCAGATCTCTGAGTTCAAGGTCAGCCTGGTTTGCAGAGCTAGTTCTAGGACAGTCAGGGCTACATAGGGAAACCCTGTCTCAGTAATAGAATAATAACCAAATAAATCTTTATTAAAGAGCCACTAAAAAGCAGTTGTGGGGGGAGCAGGGGTGTACATGCCATTAATCCCAGCACTTAGGAAGCAGAGGAAGGCGGATTTCTGTGAGTTCCAGGACAGTCATGGATACACAGAGAAACCCTGTCTCATTAATATAATAATAAGCAAGTAAATATTTGCATAAAACCCACTAAAAGACATCTCAAAAATGTTTCAGCATAATATCTGCATAGTAACTTCTATGAACCAGGCACTGTTGTTTGTTTTTAAGTTTTATTTACTATGAGTGTGTACATGTTCCAGTAAGGATATTGCTGGTCACCAGTCTTAATGGGGTTATGATGAGAGAACTCAGATACAGCTACTATGAGCTCCTGAGTGGCACATAGCCCTAATCTGCCTTTTGTCTTCAGCACCTTCTGTTTAACATGTGAATCATGTAGGAGAGTTTCCCAAAGGTGCAAAGCCTGTGCAAAACATAGTTGGGAGACAACCTGGAAAACCATGGATTTTCTGATTGAGAATTTGCATTTGGCATTGTCCCTTTGGAAGCTTAATTAAGATGGTTTGAGGACATGAAAATCAACATGCTAAGGTGTAAACTGGAGAATATTGAAGAAGTCCTCAATGAAGGGAAGGTGGTTCAGTCCATAGAGATGAATGCACCCTGCAGCTGGAAAAGGGATGATTTTTCATCCTTGAGGAGCCTCTGTACTTCTCTCCTGGACCATGTGAATGAACTCCCACACCTGGTATACAACAGGCTTATGTTAATCTCATCTTCATAACAATTATGTAAGTATTAACAATTTAATTTTAGAGACCCTCCCTTACATAATCCTACTTCCTTCAAACAAAAAGATTTTTTGTTTGTTTGTTTGTTTCTGAGACAGGGTCTCTCTATATAGCCCAGAATCTACTGAAACTCACTATGTAGACTAGGCTGGTCTCATATTTAGAGAACTGTCTGCCTCTGCCTCCTGAGTGCTGGGGTTAAGACTTACACCACCACACCCTGCTGCAGGATGAAGTCTTAACTACTGAGTCTTCTTTCCATCCCCTATACTTTTCTATAACAACTTTTTTTACTTTATCAATAAAGTATTACATTTCCCAAATATATCCATATTTAATTAATAACTACCATTGGACAAAGGAGTGATTTCTAACTAAATATTATTAGCAGTTAATATTCTGTTGTATCTTGCCTGTTTGTGAAATGATTATTTGGGGGGAAATACAGGTATTGCATTGATGTGTTGGATTTTATAAGGAAGCTTTATTATGACAGTGTTCTGCTGGGCAGGAACAGAAACGAGACAGCTGGGTGACAAAGTGGAAGAACACTTACTACATATCCACTGTGCCTTTTGAACTTTCTGTTCTTTATATATTTGTATTTATGAAATGGAATAGGGCTGGGAATGGTTCACTAGTAAAAAGCTTGCCTAACATTATAAGACTCTGATGAAAACATGTATCATGAAAAAAATGGGGGGGGAGTAAAAAAGAAAGGAAGAAAAAAATGGAGCAGAGAACAAACTAGTTAACAAATGAATACTTTTCCAAGTGATTAGAGATTGCAGAGCTGCTCAGAGATCAAGTGCTTCACCTAGCATGCTCAATACCCTGGGTTACATTTCCAGCACAAAAAGAAAAACTTTATGTGTACAACATATTTGTTTGTTTCCTCTTGCTTACTTACTTACTTGCTTACTTTATTTATTTATTGCCTGTCTGCCTCCCAAGTGATGGAATTAAAAGTGTGTGCCACCACTGCCTGAACTTGTTCTTTCTTTTTTAGACAGAATCTCACTGTGTAGTCCTGGCTGGCCTGGTAGCTGCTATGTAGACCAGGCTGGCCTAGAACATACAGTGATCTATCTACCTTCCTATTCCTCCCAAGGGCTAGGATGAAAGGTGTATGTCACCAGGTCAAGCAGGGCTTAAACTTAATGTTATGACACCTCAATCTTCCAAGTGCTGGCATAATAGCCCACTCCAGTTTTAACTTGATGCTTTGATATATGTATATATTGATCACCACAATCAAGCTATCTGGCAAATTTTTGGT